GCTGAGCTTTCGCGTTATGTTCTGCACTATTTCGGAGATAAATGTCCACCGTTTCACGTCACCGCGGATGATGTGTCGGTGCCTGTCGGGCGCCTCGAGGTCGACTACATTTCGGGACATCACCTGGTGCGGGGCCGTAGCGGCGTTCTCGCTGTCCTGTACCAGACGCATTGGCTAGGCCTGACTACTCCTTCATGGGAACGGGAGTCCGACCTCGATCAATTCCGTCGACACATCCTCTTGTACTGGTCTAGAGAGGTCTGCCAAAGCAAGCAAGGTAACCGTACGTATCGAGTGGCTCGGACGCGCGCGGCACAACGGGAGCTAGCCCGGAATCGTGGAGAACGCTATTTGCCTCCTGGGGCTGATCTTGTGCTTCACGCGACTTGGCTCCGTCGTTTCAGCACTTCGCCCCTCCCGGTGGGAGCGCGGCTGTGGTACAAGGCCCGCGATGGATTGTGGTGGACCGGACGTATTGGTGCTCGTCAGGACGGCTCGTACATCGTTCGATTTCTGGATGACCCGGGCCCAAGCGTTCTCCCTCTGCCTGCGCACCTCTACTCCACCGCCGTGGACGCTGTCTGTGGATCATGGTGTTTAGAAAAACATCGTTCGCGCCCTTTGGGCGACACCCGTGGTCGCACTCCTCTCATTACTGACTCCTTACCATCGGCTGTTCCCAATATCTCTTCTTAGCGTCGTCGTTTTCGTGTACGAGTTGGCCTATTTTGGGTTTCCTGTGGGGGGGACTACGTTTTCACCAAATCAGAGGATCCGCATTTTGGGCAATCCTCTAGAGGATTTTGCGGTTTCACCTATCCTCTGAAAGATTTTATCCCTAGCCATTTGTCTACAGAACGCGCCACCACTTAAGAACCGCTTATTTTTCATGAGGCTCGACTCTTATTGGTTGTCTCAAACCGAGCACATGTTCTTATGTTCCAAGTTCTTACAATATATAGCAGCCATCCCCCTGGGATAATACGGGGCTCTTTTGTTCTTATTGCTACGCCGATTACCCCATGCAGAAGACAGACAGGTCGCTCTGATGGATGTGTGGATTTCAAGAGCAGTAGCGTGTTTAACACCAGCAGTATATAACGCCCCCCCCCCTCAGAGCTCACCAAAGAAACCAAGGATAAGGCGGGTCTAGGATTGTACGGACTGTTGAGAGAAGGAACGGGGTTCAAGGAGTACCTACATGGACCAATGGATGCAGAGACAAAGGTTAAGGTCATATTCAGGATCGGGGACATTGGCCTTCGAGAACGTAGACAAAGATACAGGACTGTAGGAAGATATAGGACTGTACACGATGAAGACGACAACTTCAAATTTGATTGCGGCTTGGAGTGCGAAGACCGCGTTCATGTAGTTGCGAAATGTTCGTTGTACAAGGAGAGGGAAGTGTACATGCCTGAGCTGGGAAATAGAAGGAAGGTACAGGGAGATGTTTGAGGCATGGGGTAGGGAGGACAAGACGGTAGCAGTACTGGGGCATAACAAGTGGGTAGAAAAGGCGGGAAGTGATATCGGTAGAATAGATAGACTAGGGAAGACATATTTGAGCCACCTTTGGCAACGCAGGAAGGAACGATTGGCCATCGGTGATCGATCCTGTGGGAACAATGCTCCGTCCTCTCGAGGACGCGTGGTCAATGGTTTAACGACAAAGGCATGCAAAACATAAGCGTACGCCCCCCCCCCTACCTCCGCGCGAGAAGCACGGAAACAAAAATGGCAGTACCGTATGGCTGATGTCGGAGAGGAGAGTTTGCCCAGAATCGCTTGGGAGGCGAAATGGGCAAACAAGAAAATTGGTAGAAAACTCACGGAAGAGTTCAGGTTGTACGTACGGTTGAGTTTAAAATCGATGGAGTCGATATATTGGAAACGGTAGGTCTAGAGGGGTTCAAGAAAAAGGTACGTGTTGCTTTTGCCTAGAGAAAGAACAGAATCTAGCCAAAGAAACAAAGGATAAAGAGGGATGTGTACGGGAAGTTGAAAGAAGGAATGGGGTTCAAGGAGGACCTACATGGACCAATGGATGCAGGGCCAAGCTGAAGGTCAAATTTGTGTACGGGAAGGTGAAAGAAGGAACAGGGTTCAAGGAGTACCTACATGGACCAATGGGTGCAGGACAAAGCTTCAGGTCAAATTGGGACTGGAGATATTAGTCTCCTTCGAGAACGTAGACGAAGATGTAAGAAGATGGACGATGAGGACGACATTTTTAAACGTGAATGCGGCTCCGAGTGCGAAGACCGGGTTCATTTAGTTGCGGAATGTCCGTTGTACGACAAGTAGAGAGAAACGTACTTAACTGGGCTGGGAAAAGTTGGAAGGAAGGTACAGGGAGATGTTTCGGCCATTGAATAGCCAGAAGAAGACCGTAGCTGTCCTGGGGCATAGAAAGTGGGTCGAAGAGGTGGGAAGTGATATCGATAGGATAGATTGACCAGGGACAACATTTTGGAGCCACCTTTGGCACAGTAGGAAGGAACGATTGGCCATCGATGATCGTTCCTATGGGAATAATGCTCCGTCCTCTCGAGGACGCGTGGTCAATGGTCTATGTAACCGCTAAGACATGCAAGACATGAGAGTGCGCCCCCCCCCCTCCGCTCGTACAAGTATTACATCCGGAGGTGCCCCACCCCCCGCCCCGAATCTGAGACTATTTCCGGCTGGGGTCACCCCCCCACCTTCCTGAGTTACTATCGTGAAGTCCCCGTATTCTGGGGCTCTGTTCTTACCTGTATGCGCATTGGTACACCACAAAGGCGGGTTCTTGTTTTGTTATACCACGTCGTATCTGAGCACCTGTTCTTATGGACAAGTTCTTAGATTTTTTATTATTTGAGGCTCAAGTTCTTAACTGTTAAGTTCTTAAGTGGTGGCGCGTTCTGTACAGTACCTGTGTGCAGTACTGCTGTAACTGTAGCGCTTTCCACTCGGGCCAAGAACGGAAGAGAAAAACTCACAATTGCAATAAACCTACTGATGCTACTACTGTAGCTCGCTTTTGATTTCATCACGCGACCCTGGCCTCTAGCCTAGAGGTTTTCGAGGATACCAACCAGACTACCGGGGCGACCGTATGCACAACAACCTACAAGTAATATATCTTGACTGATTGTCATGTCGGCGATCGGGTCGCTCTCGACGCAACAAAAACGATTGATTGATTGATTGGCAAAAGGGAATGTGCATGCAAAATATATACCGCGAGAGTATCATGTATCATTGTGTGTCCATTATGTCTGTCTGCTGATTGTGCTTAGGGTGACGACGCAAGATGACACACCCGGAAGATTTCCCATGGATGTGGGTGGGTGGGTTGATGAGAGGTAAAAATTGTTCTCGTCTCCGTACAAACAACATTGGATGGTCTCTTCTCCGAAAAGGCCTCTCCGCCTCCAAGGGAGATTCGAGGCGAGCCCACAGACAGGAGCTCTCAAAATACCCCCGGCGTTGTTGCCAAGCAAGCAGACCAGATTAATGCGCATTAAAATGGCTATACCTTACATAACTACCCTCAACTGGGAATGAACCCATTGGGGCCAGGACGGGTAATTCGATGGAGAGAAGTACTGACCTTTGCAAGGCAGCATCTTGTTTAGGATCGACTGACACACGTTACATGTAGGAAGTTGTCCCAGTCAGGAGAAAAATGTGCACAACCGGAGTATCGAACCAGTGTTGTCCTAGACGTCATTTGTGAAGGAGTACCGAGATTGTTCGGTAAAAACGTGGTTGACCACTCGGTATCTGTTCGTTGTTGACCTCACAGGTGGCCGTTGCCGATACGAGCACTGCAAGCAATCCCTTGCTGCGCGGACCCGATACGTTCACCTCAGAAAGTGTCGGAAGCGGCGTGTAGTTTTTGCCGTCTCATGCTAGGATTGCGTCGTGATCAATGTTTAGTCCACTACAACCCCTGCGCCTCCACCTCCAACGGTTCCAAAACCCTGAAACCACCTATGCATTTACTTGATCAGTTTAACGTGTTGTGTACTCCAAATGACTTCGGTTCCAATCGCCCACTGCTTCTTCCTTTGGTGTGATACGACGAACACTCGCTGAACTTGTTGGACGAGTCTCGCTAGCAGCGCCGCTGCGCCTTTCCTAACGACCTGGGGTAGATAGATATTTACACGTGTCCGGTCGCAAACGATCAGGGGAACCCCTCTTCGAGGGCCGTTCGACGTGTAGACTAGTCTAGGCGTCCACACCAACTTCCGAATGTTGAAGAGCATTTGCAGCACGTCCGGTCCTTTCTCTACACGCAAACCTTCGGCTCTGAGTAAGAAACATGACAAGCCCTAACGAAATCTCTCCAGGCCAGACTCGGATACTACGACATCATACTTCTTGTCTCTGGCGATAGACTCCTGCCGTAACGCGTCGCCGCTCCTATCGGAACATGCCCTCGAGCATCCGGACGACGCGATCCGACTGGAAGGCGATGAGTTTGTTGACCGAGGCCTCTTGCTCCCCCTCAGTGCTCCCGTATGCCCTGTTTACTTTCGGCTCCTCTCTGCTTCCTTCATCGTGCCCCCCTTCTTGCCCTTTCGCTTCATCGTCTCCCTGCTGACCTTCCTTTTCGTCCGCCTCCCTCTCGTTTTCGTTGCGATTATCGCCATCTTGGTCGCCGCCCCTCCCGCGCCGCCTAGCCGTAGCAGTCTCCAAAACCCGCACGTGTGCCCTACCGGCAGGAGATCTAGCAGGGTTGTTATTTTGTGAAGGGGTAGTGTTGCCGCCGCTCTTACTAGCGTCCGGGACTTGGGCTTTGCTCTCCAGCCCGGCGAAGTCCCAACCCAACCACGGCGTTGCCGCGTTCGGTCTCCCCTTCCTCAATTGATTATCGCCATACGGCGAATCACGCTTTTCCTCATCCTGGACCTTGGTCTCCGCCGCAGTAGAATCCACCGCGACTGCTGCTTCTTGTCCTGTCGTGTTTCGAGTCCTGCCAACACCGGAATCTTCGTCCCTGTGTGTTTGCTGCTTTCGCCTACCGGGCCATAACCCGCGGGGCAACGAACCGTCATCTGCCAACGACGTTGCGCAATTTTCGTCACCGTCGCTGATACCACCGTCACTGGCCGGGAGCGGCCGCCGGTGCCAAGAGCGAAGACCGGTGACGTGCTCTTGCACCACCGTCGCAAAGTCTACGAAGCCGGCGTAGTCGAGGACGTGGTCCTTTGTGTCCTGCGATGGTTGCCCGAGGGGAAAGGTTTGCAAACAGCACAGGCCCGTGAAGCGTACGAAGTACAGTCGTCCCTTGCTCAAGGACACCACTGTTAAGGGCACCCCCCCGGACGAGGACGCCTTTTTCTTCACAGGCATGGTGCCCGGCAGAATGCACGACATAAGGGGGGTATCAATCGGAAGGACACTCCCCCGGCTTAAGGACACGGGCTTCAAGGGGAACACCTTGTGTGTTCTTAACCATGGGACGAGTGTACATAGGCCGGTGGTCTAGGTTAAAGGTGTCCCCAACAGGCTTTGGTGGAGAGGCCGCGGGCTCGTGCCCTGGCATGATACCGGCGCACGTGTCCTTGAATGACCAAAGCTTCATCGTGTATTCGTTGGCAGGAAGGGGGAGGGGAATGAGGGTGGCATGGTTGAAGGAAGTCCGAGGGGTCTCTTCGAGAGGAAGAATTCTGTGAGATCCCCTTTCTACCATGGTGGCTCAAGGAGCGCGTTAGACCGGCGTTGAGAGAGAAAAACTGGACTTCCAAACTAGAAAAGTGGTGGCAGTAGTAAAGAACGTCGGTTGGTCGGCCTAGTGACGGCTCGGCATTGTGAATGCCACAGAGCGAGAAGATTTGTGGATGTAATTTGCTACCGTTGTTCAAGGCAGGAGCAGACATCCAAATGCACGGAAGAAATACCGCTTTCTATCAATTCCTTAAATTCTGGAACCCTTGGACTAGTCCGCAACTTTCCGCGTTTTTTCAGAGTATTGGCCGGAGTCACACGGAAAAGAAAAACTTGCTCAACTTTTGCGGCAAAAGAAGTTAATCAACCCTATCCCCCATAGTGCCTGAAAACCACAGATGCTGTTAAACGAGACACACCGATAAAGAAATCGACCATGGTGGTTAATCCGCAAGAAAATCAGTGGAAACTGCCGAGGCTCGTGTGCAACAGCTGTGACGTACGTCTGGTGTTTTTCCAAACATCCGTAGTTGTCCTAAAGTGTTGATGAGTGATCATTTTTATTTTATATGCAGTTGTCATCTGCCCGTTCGGAGACATCCAAGCATAAACAGTGATTCAGGATACGAATCATCGCAGTGGGAACGAAAGCGGGCCTGCCCATGTGCGGCAGGAGCATGTCCCTCGCTCACCACGCAATCCCGAACGACCTCGGCGCCTTGAATCCCGAGCGTCATCGGATCTCGCCGGGTCACAACGGACCGCAGAAGGCTTCGCTCCCGGAACAGCCGGTACAGCTCACCCTCCCATTCCCACCCGAAAATCTGTGCTCGGTTTTAGATGTATTGTTGCGTGATGGCCGTCAAAGGAAGAAATGAAGAAAGGAAGGGAGGAAGGCGGTGGTGCGCACGGACGGGGGGAGCGAACCCAAAGGGTGCTGCGTGAGATCTACCGAAAACAAACGTGAAAAGTCAGACGATGTTCCATGCGCGTGTCGGTTAAACACAATGAGAGTCCGAACACTCCACGGGAATTAAACCTACTTTTTGTTGGGGTTCTGTTAGCTGAACGGTGTGCGGTTCAAAGCCGTGGCTGTGAGGCTCGCCGCCTAGAAGGCAAGCATAGGAGGAGTACGCAGCGCTGCTGGTGACAGGCGTGCCCATCACGCGGCCGCCCCTCACCTACTCGCTCACCTGCCCATAAAGGTTGTTCACTGCGTGCGTTACGCCTCCTCGAAAGACGATGCAGGCGTCCGCGTTGTTCTTGGATCCAGGATCGATCCTGCGGGAAGAGGACGCGGTGATACATAGGGCCACGCCATTCCCCGTGTATCGTAGGCGTGCACGTGCCGTGCGGTAGATAACATGAGAGCAAAGTTTTGCGCCACAGAGAAGGATTGGCGACACTTGCAATACTCTTTTCTCCAACACTTACTTGCTGCCCCCTACGACAACTTGAAAAGGAAGACCCGTGTAGGAAGGATAACCCGTGTGGGAACTCGCACGCGCACGCGTTCTCAGCCGTACATCGTATGAACAAGAGACAACACTGGACACGTTTTCCAGATAAGGAAATGGGTTGCGCAACACTTCTTGCTAGTTTCCAACAATGGAAATTTCGAAATTTCCAACCGCGTTGGTACCAGGTACAGACTCACTCACAGGTCCACCGAGAACCTTTCAAAACCATTCCATATTGAAGCAGAAGGGCCGATGTAAACAAATAACACTCCTCCATTCGTCTCTGACATTGCTTTGCCGCAAGTCCAGATGGACATAGATCATGGTATCTTGTTTCTGTTTTTTCTCTCATTCAAGCACACATACTCATTGGTCAGCTGGATGGAACGGTCGATGCTAATCTTGAAAAAAAATAGCACACACACACACTTTTCATTGGTCAGCCGGTTAGCGCGGTCGACGCTAATAATAAAGACACACACATGCACACAAACTCGCCATGGCTGGTGGTGCGAGTAGGGACAAGCGGGTCTGGAGCACGCAGAAGTTGCCAGGAAACGGTCGCAAAGTTGGTTCCCGTGCGCATCGACCGCTTTGCCCCTGCCGGGAAGTCCCTCCCCCGTCGTAAGCCTGCCGCCGCCGATGGCCAAATAACGAAAATAATGATTGCGGACATTTCTTTACTCCCTTGGTGCCCGTTTATCTACCAGACACCAAGTCAGGCCGTCCGACGAACAAAATATACACTTGTTGGCCTTTCGGCAGGGATCTCAACGGGGGGTGTGCGTGCACCGACTTTCCTGCTCCATCGCCAAGCGCCGTGAATTCATGGCCCAAGGTTATCGTTGACTCCCGTTTCCTCCCGTGCTTGTCTTTTCGGGCAAAAATAGGGGGAGGTTCGCACCTGGTTCGCACCCCGCGCTTTCTAACGTTAATTAGCGAGGGTTTCTCCACGCCTGGACTACACAGTCAGAGACCTCTCTCATGCACGAAACAATTTAAATGGATTCCGCAAACGTTGCACCTCTGTTTGGCACGCTTGGTTAACGGGCGAATAGACGAACGCTAAAGCACGAACGATCAATATAATCTTAAAGCAAAACTGTTTGAACAGTATCACCTCGACAACCCTGGCACGACCAAACGAGCTATTTAGTACACACATACCTGCCCCATTGTAAAAATTCCAGCGTTCTCTTGGCGAGGTGTCCGGGTGTGAGCGGGTGGAGCCGCCACTCCCGCCGCAACCTGGAGCGGAGGTTCGCCATCGTGTGGTTCACGTGCCCGAGAACCTGCGGCAAAGTCAAGATAGAGCCCGAACATAAGAGCTTGGCCGTGAAGAAGTTGAGTCTCCGAAAGCTCAAAACATGATAACTTGAGCACTATGCGAGCCCTGATAAAAACCCTCACACTACAACCTATATACCGCGGCCATTTGTAGCCCACAGAGGAACAAGAACCCCAGTCTCGCCCAAAATTAGAGGTTCTTGCGGGCGCTATCTGTAGTCGAAAACCGCGAGTTCACCACGGGGTCATTGCCGATAGCAACAACGACACCCTCGTACACAGCAGCCATCAATCATGAAATTGAGTCGGTGATGATGTCGCTTATCTCTCCAAGTACGTGGGAGTTGCTCTTCCCTCTCGGACACGTGCGAGCTTTGGTTGTTGTGTTCAACGGTGAGCTACAGAGCAGAGGTAGCCTGAGCACCCCGTTTCGCTCGGATTGGGACAACCGCACGTTGCCCCACGTTCTACGTCGTCAAGTGCCCCCTCTTGTACGGGGCTTTCTCGTACCGACGAACTCGTCAGCCTTCTGAGCACCACGCTCGCCAACGCGCAAGAAAGCGTCGACAAGCTGCAAACCGGTCGTAGAGCTGTGGTGCGCGCTCGGAGAACACCAGCCTATTCCTACGATTTGATGGGCCCGTCGCAAGCTAACGGAGCCGCATCTAACACCTGAACATCGTGTGTTCTCTGGCATATGAAGCAATAGTGAACAATACCGCGGGGGCGGCCAAGATGTGCTTAGTGGCAAGTGCGACCCAAATTGTTTTTCGTACCATGCTTTGAAGTGCACGTTTCTTCAGGTCGCTGGTGTTCGTGTTGTCAGGACCAGAATTTGCACTACATGTAGTAGGCGGGGATGCCATCCCACCCCAAAATATTTTCTTCGGGCGGGTCCATGCATTTGTCAGCACACCGCCACATCCCGTGGCGTTCGACCGATGCCGTGAACTGGCTCTAAGCGGTTGCAATACGGCATGCTGTATTTTCGAAGCATGAGTCCTCGAGAAAAGCCACCTAAGACTTGCAGCCACAACAGGCCGACGAATCGGATTTGAAAACGATTGTTAGGGTAAAAGAAAGAAACACGATCGACCTCAGTCCTGGCTAACCGCTCACCGATCCAACCGGAGAAAAGCCGAATCCCACCTCGTGAAAGGGGTACGAACGGCGAGTGTCTGTCGTTCGTCTACGGAGGCACAGGTAGTGACATACGCGTAGAGCGCACGCGGTGCCACCAGCGGGAAAGAAAAAAACGCTTCACCTGCGACGAGCGATAACCGAGCAGCTCGAGAATGGACAAAACATCGTCCTCGGAAAGGGAGACGAAACTGCCGCAGTGCCGCATCTTCGGTCCGCCCAGAAACCTCACGATCCCGTCCGACGTCCCTACCACTATGCTTGTCGTTGTCACGAGTCCCGCGTGGGGGGACTCGTCGTCTGAGACCGGTATCTGTCCGGAACCGCGGTCTACTGCCTGTTTCATGGCAGACGCAACAACAGGTTGAAGGGACAGGTGAAATAAGTCGGAGGTGGGACGTGGTGAGGTAAGATAGCGATATCCCCAGACAATACACAAGTGTTCGAACGCTAACAAAAGCAGATCCATGTGTAGTCGACGTACTGCAAGGAAGCAGCCCCCCGTGCTGAAGAGATATAAAAAATCTTCAGTCGTGAATGTACACTTCTTCCTCCGTCTGTCTATGCAAGCACGCCCACCTGACAACTAGATCTTGTCTTCCTTAAAAATTATGGTCAACTTACGTCACCTTCAGCCTCGCGAAACGTGCCGACACCGGCGTCCCTGTACCCCAGTCCATGGCACCACCATCCGCCGCGCCCCCTTGCTCCTCTGCGACCCCGGACTCTTCATGCCGGTTTTGAGCACTGGTGGTGGCGTCCTCCCCGCCCTTGCACTCCCCCGACGGCATATCACCCGCATATCGCTTCTTTTCCTTAGCGGCTTCTTCGCCGTTCTCGCAGCCGTGCCCCACGCCGGCAAGCCCGGGTCCGAACTCTCTCACAAGAAGCCACCTCCCGGAGAGATGGGAGTAGACAAGAATCTGAAAGTGTGGGGGTGCGTCCCGATACCAGGGTGAGGAAAGGGTAGGGTGTCACTATCATCAGACCGTATACATGATAGCAGGATCCACGAACATAGACGCCAGCACCTCTCTACCCACCCGGGATGGAGGATGTCGGTTCGGCGCGTGGGGGAGGGGAAGAAGGCGGGATCCTTGTTTCTCGACATGCGGGTCGTTCCTACCACACAGCACTAATAGAGGCACGAATGCTCGAGCAGCTGCGGTTAGTCGTGCGGGGCAATCGAATAGTGTGGCGACGAACAATAACAACAACAACAAAAATTAAAAAAATCAATATGTACCGGGGGTTCCCGGTGTGATGTTGACCGGTGGGCACGGGGGAAGAATGAGAGGAAAATCTTCTCCAAAGTGAACAGAGGGGGCGGCCAAGGGCGTCAAGACAATTTCTAGTGGCAAGCACATGCGGAGGACTCTTGAGCGTTGCAGGATTGATACGTGTGACTATGCTGCAGCATCAGGTCGATATCCCCTCCTCACCGAGTCTTGTGTTTGTTACTAGCCGATCCGCCTGCCCACGCTGTCCATTGGTTCTGTGTTGCTCACAATATCGAGCACTGCTAAGCATAGCACAGCAATGTGGAACTTGAGCGGCAGTCACAGTAGTTGACTCCCACGCCTAGAACTACGCAGCAGCAGTTTGTGTGTCGAAGACAACCACCGGAGAATGAAATGGCATGGCCCCCCGTCGCCTTCGCTAGTCGTTCCTGAATGCAGATAGATGTGATCGTCACCCCTAGAAGCAAAACATCACCTCCTCCCTGACCCTCCCCCCCCCTCAAGGATCCCACCTTTCGGGCACCCTGGTCCACGACAAGCAGGTCACCATCGGGACTGAAAGATACGGAGCTCGGTCGTCGGAGCCCCTCGATACTTTGCCCACCAAGCGGCACACGGGGGGCCGGCAACGGGGAGAAGAAACAAGACATCATGAACGTGAGTGGGGTACACCGGTTTTTGTATAGACAAGCGGCGATATTGCGTCCCCAAAACCGAAAGTTAAAAACCCCGAACAAAATAAAAAAACATCCAACCTACTGTGAATTGATCAACTTATTTTTTTGTAGAAGAAAAATTAAGGCCGGACGGAACGGCAGGGTGCAGGGTCTATGTTGGCTCTGGGGAAGGGGGCGAGGGTTCTCGGTTTGTCCACCGGCCGACTTCTGTTTAAAAAGGCCGAATGGACGGTGTGGTAGTGCGCTAGACCGACATATCAGTTGTGCGTCGTCACATCGTTCCCACAACACGTGCCGCTCCCTCACGCTGCGGAGCATACCTTGGACGTGGGGCGAGCACCTAAAGGACAGCGCGATGCTCTCATCTATCGAGATACTTCGCCAACGAGACAGCTGCTGCTATTCCTGTACGACGGAGCACAACCAAGAACACCCCGAAAGTGTTCTAGTTTTCTCGTGAAAACCCACGAATACACTGTGCTTCTGAACAAAGGTAAAATAATAAAAGAGTTTCGAGTTAAAACAGTAGCCCGACGTTCAGGCAAGACCTTTGTCGAAAATTGTTGGGGTTCACTGGGGCGCATTCTCTCTGTTGGCGATATCAACTCTCGCTATTCCGGAGGGGGGGGCGTTCGTGTTATTGTGTCTCTACCGTTTTGCTTCCCCTCTGAACGTGTTTTTGTCCCTTATTTGAGACTATGCCGTCCCTCACCCCACAAAGAGATAAAACGCATGCCACATTAAAAATGGGCACTTTGCCGAGCTCCTACCTGTGCAGATGCGTTATCTCGGTGGGATAGAACGGTCGGAGGGCCGGGGCGTAGTGAAGCAAGCGCACGCGACCACCCCCCCGCTCTGCCACGGCCACGATTCCTCGGTCCCCCCTGGCGTCGTCAACGCCAACTAGCCTCGCGAATCCCCTGCCCCTGCCCGCCCAAGACGAAGGGGGAAGCCGACGGCGGGGCCCCCATGGTTTCCAATGAGGAGAAACAGTGCAAGGGGGACAATGGTTTTTACCTTATATGGAGGGGGGGGAGTTGAGAGGAACAATAGTATATTGACACGAAGGAAGAAGGGAGCAGAAATAGAAGGGGGGAGCAGAAAGCAGAAGTGGTAAAATTGTTCGAGTAGCAAGAATTGCATTTAGATGCTGCAATCTACCAAGATAGAACCCAGACAACTTGGATCTACTCCAGGGCTTTGCTTTCACAACGCGGACCGGGGGCTGAGCGAAACACCCATTTTCGCAACAATAATGCGAATCGGCACAAACCCATACACGCCCACCTGAACGCTCGCAGCAAGTTCAATAGCGAGTCGTAGACGAGGCCACATATTTCGACGCTTTTCCCCCCTTCTAGAACAGTGATGACTTCGTCCCTTATCTTGGCATACATGTCCGTCCGCCCGGCCGTCGCGCAGCACGATAAGGTTGGAGTAGCAAGTGTAGGACAAATAAGACGTCGGATGGTTGTTCATGGCTGCCAGAGAATCTGCGACTGGTTGGCCGGTTCTCGGGATATTGTGACCATCTCTCATCCACCCGCTTGCCCAGGCGGCAATTGTAATTTTATTTGTGCAGACTTCAAAGCATGTAGGAAAGCATGACACGAACTGACGGCACTGGCACCTCGGAAGTTGGTACCGGAGTAGACGATGAAGCCTGCGAAGAAGTGTCATCTCTTTCGCCTCGTCTGCCCCCCTCTCCCCCCCCCTTATTTTGCTTTATCTCCTCGTCTTCGCCTACTCCCCTTCGCCCTGGTTCGCGCCGACCACTCTTAGCATCTGCAAGTGAGGTCGTAGGCCTGCTGCACACCGAAATAATAACTCGGACAGCATCAGTAGAGTCGGCAGCAGCGCCATGTCAAGTAGCTTGTATCAGAGCTAACAGTCTCCGCGGCGGGGGGGGGGGTGTTCTACAGCCACTTGGTGCGGAGAGGAGTGGATGGTTGGCCGAAGTTTCTTTCTGTGTACGGAACAAAGACAGGGATGATGCGATAGACCAAAAATATGTGGCACGAGCATTGGAGCACCAAGTGCCTTCGTCAGTGCCCGCCAACGATAGCGATAGCTCTACCATTTTAAAAACACTTGCTATGCAGTCGGCATCCTGGATGCTCGACTATGCATTAAGCCATAAAAACTGGGCACCATTGCAATAAAATATACCCGGTGACTCCCCAGTACCCCGAAACTTATTCTCGTACCGTGACTCTTGGTACAGCCAGAGAAGAACCCGAACCTCGGGAAAAATAAGAGACTCTTGGATAGAAACCCGTTTGTACCGGACGAGACGGTCAAAACAGGAGTTGCATAGGACTGCTTCCCTCCCATGGAACAGGCTAGTGAGTGTTGACGCCACAACCGTTTACGCCAGAATGCGTGACCAACGGGAGGAAGGGGGCTCCTCTTACAATGCCGATTGAGAGCATCGGCTTCGATGGTCCTTGTCGCGCACGTTTTCGTTATTGGGCAAGCTGGGCGCTGTTTCCTCACGTGAACGAAGCTCGCGTCCACCCATTCGCGCTGCACCCTCCACAGCAAGACACGACAAAGAAAATCCTGTCGACGATTCGTCTACTACAAGTGGGGGCTCCGTACATGCAGCATGAACAAGAAAGTACGGGCTTTCGCCAACACATTCCTCTGGATTCGAACTACTACCCGTTCCTGCACACGCGCCTCATCCATTCGAAGCCTTCCGAGCTGTCGTCTTCTCCCCGTTCTTCTGTAGACCGACGTCCCGAGAGGGAAGAGAAAGACTCGTCCTCGCTCTCTGCGGGCTCGCTTCCATTGGCAGCGGCGTGTTCGGCCTCCTCGGCTTCCTGGTATTGTGCGGTCAGAGTTTTTTTTTTCGTACAAGCCGGTAGCATGCAGCGCGCTACGAAAGTTTTTCGAGAAAATCCAAGAAATGATCAAGGGGTTGAAACGCGCGCCCTCTGGTTATCGGTGCAATTCTTCCACAGGGCCAGAGCTGCTTGTGGAGACTGCGTATGAACTGAGGCGTCAACACGCCATTTCAAAAGAGAGCCATTCGGTCGGTGAGCATGTCCCGGGTTTGCCAAGGTCTTATGCGAGCTGATTAGTATCGTCCAAAACGGATGAACACATTGCATGCGCCACTACGCCACCTATCCTTCCGAACGTCAATGTTCACCTAATCACCCGACATACATTTGCTCCCGAAATTCGACAAGAACTAGCGGACCTGGTGCGGAATTTCCCACCCGAGCAACGCCCGCCCCCTGCCCCCCCCCACCCACCCCCCATGACGTCTCCCACAAGAAAATCACACACTCGCATCATAGTCTCGCATCATAGTCGCACACTTTTCGAGCACCTTCGTCTTCGCGATAAACGACAGCTGGAGCTTGCCGGCAACTCCTGTTGCGCAGACCACGAACGCGCCAAGTGTGGGCTCCCCGGTGCCACCACCCTTGATGCTGCCAACTCGAAACTGCCCCGTGCTGCTTTCATTCTCCGACGTCGAGCGACGATCAATCGGTTTCTTGGTGTGCCCTCGGGGTGGAAACCCGGCAGGAGGTTTGCTGGTTGGGGCGGGGTTGGTTCGCGGAGGCGACGCGGGTGATAATAGCTCCCTCCTTGCTCTCTCCTCGTCCTCAGGGTTCGGCCAAAACCACCTCGGCGGTTCAGGGTTCCACGCCCAGACAGTAGTGGTGTCTTCCACTTCGCCTTCTTTTTCTTCCGGTTTTCTTTTCTTTTTCTTCTTTTTCCCTCCTTTTTCTGGGAATTCTCCAGCCGCCGTCCGCCGTGGCCTCCAGTACGCCACGTCGCAAGGTTGGCTCAGAGGCCCCTCGGCGTCTTCGGACTCACCCGCCACTCGGCGCTGCCTCAGCCCACCGGCGTCTTCCCCCCCCGCGAACACGAGCAAACAGGCACCATCATCGCCGTCGGCATCATCTGGCCCCTGTTCGAAGTTGGCCGCTTGCCGTTGTAGCTCTCCTGCTCCACGCCCCGACTGATGGGGCCGGTGCTTCTTGTCTTGTTCGGGGGGGGGGTTCGGTGGCGCTTGAGATCGCTCCCAGGAACTCGGCATTTCTGGGCTTGAGGGTGTTGTTTGCCAGCTGCCTACCGTGCCGTCCATCGATGCGATACCACTCACGGAAGATGAAGAAGAGGAGGAGGAGGTGACGTCGGGCTGGATACCGGGGTCATCGAGGGGATCCGCCAGCTCCTCGACGTGGAAGATCTGAAGCCTGCTGTTCCCTGTGTCGGCAACAATCATCTACAACGGCACGAGGGGAGATTTGGCGGGTTCGGCAGGTTCGGCGGCATCTTTCATATTAGCATTGCCCCATTCTTGTGCGCATAGTCCAGAAAGGGTTCAAGTTAAGCTCCGCGGGGTTGGACACGTGCGGGCAATATTGGGGGGTGCGGATGTTCTACAGAGCGCATACCACGAGCCCCCCCGGTAAAGCGCGAACGCACGACACACATTATTGTATGCCCTCGGTTGAAAAGCACAATGACCACTGGACTACCAACACCCTCTACCGGAGCAGCGATGACGAAACAAGACTTTGTCGTCGTATTTAGCATCCGGGTGAAAAATTGGATGGCACCCGGGTTATCGAGGACCGGTCTGTCTTTTTTTCGGCACGCTGTAGACCAACGTGTGCAGCATTGAGTGCATGATCTGTTCCGTAGTGTATACGTGGTACAGCGGGGGCAGCAGGTGTACCGTAAATCACAACAACGAACTACATTCTCGCCATAAATCACAAAACACAAGACATGCTGGGGGCTCACATCTCGACGAGGTCGATTTCTGTTGAACGTACGGGTGACGAGCGGTCAGTGGGGAACAGCGACATGTGTCGCACAGTTATCGAGCGAACCGATCGCGGAGAGGCCAGGCCTAAGAAACCAAGCCACACACGGGCTAGCGACAAGAATCGTGTATTCACGCCGCACTAGTCGGGCTGCAGGCTTACACCCTCTCTGAAGGACAGCTTTATTTTTGTGTGTTATTTTCAAACGAAACCTTAATACTCCCTCCCTCACCTCGCGGCGGCCGTCCACAAACGCTACACCTTCGGGACCCTGCATCCGCCCGGGTCTAATCTGCCCCCTCCTGCCGACAGACGCTAGGAATTTGCTCGTGGTGGCATCGAACAGCTGAACACGATTGTTGCTGTTCATCGCGAGGGTGAGACGGAGGCCTTCATCAGAATTACTTTGAGCTCGCCGGAAGCAATGTTGTGTTGGCTTGAGGGGAAAATTGGAGCGGAGAGCTGGTGCAACTCGTCAGCGAATGGATAAGGGTTTTATTATGGTAGAATTGAGGCCCACACCTTTGCAAATTCAAGCGAAACCCGCCAGAGGGATTGAGCTGGAAGACGAACTTTCGCTCAATCTGGATTGTTATCACTAGCGGGTCTCAAGGAGCCACATAGCAAAACAGCAACAACACACGTTGAGATTCCTGTGTGCCACTCGCTGCTAGATGCAGGCCTGAGTTGTTACAAACTGCGGCGGTGCCTAATAAAAAATGAAGTCAGAAACGTCAGACTATGCTCTCCATCCCGGCTATCTACAATTCAAATTTACGTAGCTGTCTACGGAATACGTAGCTTTTTGAATGGAGAGATACATCTACAGTATTACTGTACATAGCTGTCTACGAAAGGACTTTTGAATGGAGGGTGGTACAGATTGGCGCCCTGTTTTGGTTTCGGCTATACATGTAGCAGTCGTACAGGAAGGAAGGACCCTTGATGGCACTTCACCACTTGCCGAAACGATCGACTGCATTCTACAGCAGTTTGTTCCCGATCAACACTGCATGATGAATGTCATGAGAGGTTATCACGCGGTTCGAGTCGCGTCGAGGACGCTCACCCACTGTCAGCAATGGCCAGCACCCTACTGTCAGCCGACAGAGCAGTTTGGCATGGTTGCGCGAATTCGCCAAGCGATCGTCCTTTCCTTCCCAGCCCGGGACCTGATGCCTTCCCATCACTACTACTGCAAACCTGTCGATGATGGGTAGCAGATGAAAAACGTCACGTATGTGCGTAAGAGGTGGGATGCAGCGAATAGACTGTTGCTGCGACGGCACACACATGCATAGGCTTCGTGCTGTGAAGAGTAGCTGCAGCCTAGGGGTTGGTGGGGCGGATATCTGAAACAGACTTGCTGCAGACGGGCACATGTACGCCAGACCAGCGGCGATCGTACCCACGAAGGGAGGCAATACGTGTGAAAACAGCATGCATGATGTGCTGCAGTCAACACACGTCACGTATGTTATGTTTCCTACAGTATCATGTACATAGGGCGACTTTCTTTATGATGGCAGAACGGGAGAACCTGACCGCACCGTAGTACTTTCATCACGTATGTTCGCATAGACGATGGTTGGATTGACCGCCGACCCGCCGAGAGATCTTCGCCTACATGCTTGTAAGTACAAATGACATGTTCATATGCTAGTCTACTGCTGCAGCAGTAGGTTGGATCGTTGGTGAACATGTGTCTCCAGAAGTACGTCTACGATGTTACAAGCCTTCAGTGGATCGAATGGCGCTAAAAACAAGCCGCTAACCTGTACGTTGCCAAGTGCGTCGGAAATCGTAGTAGTACCGTCTCGACAGCTCCCAATGTTTCCTAGTCTCCCCATAAACCCCTCGGTGCTCCATGATGCCAAGACAGAGGAGTCGTTGCTGCCGACGCAGCCGTAGTCTCGAGATAGCATCTTCGCTGCCCTTGTATATCGTGTATCTTATGGCAGAAAAATCCGGATCCGACTCCCCTGTAGGTCTTTAGCTCGTCCACACCCAGGCGAAGATACCATCAGGTGTCCAAGACAAGAGCAGAGAGCACATCACATGATCATGTCTCTCACGATGGATGGATCGCACGTGGATTGGGCTGGGGCTCCGCTAAACCAGAATCTTGGATCTTGAATACGTAGGATACTGAAAACATATTTCGCTGCCCTTTGCGTGCCCCCTGCTGGTTGCTGTCCTGCTGGGGAGCAACTGCTGTCATCTCCGGTCCTACCCTCCTACCTGCTAAGCAGTGTGCTAACAACTTACGTGAGAGGGTAAGGGAAGCACAGAGGGTGCGATCAGCGGGGGTTGGGTTCGCGACTTCTCTTCCCAGGAGTTGCGCCACCGGGTGAGAAAGACACCAATATATATGTACGCAAGGGAAAAAGTGGCCGTTTGCATCCATGTCCGGAATCCAGACCACGGCCAGCCTATGCGCGGCCTGCACTCAAGTTCACCCAGCAACTACAGCTAGTACTGCGGGAAACGTGGTCCATGTTTATAGTCAACGAGTGATGGTAGAGAGCAGCATGTTCTCTGCTCCATTTCTGCCCATGCACCATATGCACCCAGCTTATACGTACAGGTATTCAACGCATACGCAAGGTCAACACATAGGTGCTCAGATGATACAGCCAACAAACCCACAGAGAACAACAGCAGCTGTGTGGGTGAACTTGTGTGCGGACGTGCTCACGCCCCGTTCAAATATAGTGGTGTAGCCCCTTCCGCTTGCAGCTGCTGGCTTTTCGTGATCGTGTGCAGTATGGCTCCACCTCGGTATATCCCCCATTTGTTCTCTGCCATTGTTGAGAGTACCAGCGGAGGGACGAGAGCTGAAAGCCTCTACATGTGTTAGTACTCTAACTTCAAGACGATTAGGGGCTGAGAAATCGACAACTGCCGGGCTTCATGAACCTTCCCTGTCAGTAGTTAAATGTCCCTTACAGCAGTTAAAATCCCACCAGTATTGTCAGGAACGGTTATGGCATAGTAGAGGCGACAGGGGCGTTACACCACCCTCAGATCTACTGCTGGGCTACGTTGTCGGAAGGTTGCAGCTACAGCAGTATTTAGTTCCCGAGACCCTGCAATTCTGGATCCCAAACCAAACACAGCGGGAGGCCCTCAGTAGTTGTGAATCAGCACTACGTTGCCACATTGCCCAGCATGTACAGTATTACGACGGTGTTTTCGGCGGGCACAGATTTGTGACCACGCAAGGCGTCCTCGTCAGTTGTACTGTTATAGTATAGTATAGTATAGTATAGTATAGTACGGACATTAGAAGGTACTGAGTGGATACCGGAACGGTTTTTTCATGTGAAGACAACAACAACAACAACAACAACAACAACAGACCGAATAACCACGTCGTTCTGTTCTCTGAAATAGTATCGGTGGCTCTGAATAGTGCCGGAATGCTGGTCTGGTTCATACCGGCACTACTGTACCACACTCCTCGTGCTCGCCGCCACGAGAACCGATCTCCTGGACAGCAGTGGCGGGTCGTTCAAAACGACGCTGCTGAAAAGGACCTGCTACGACAGTATGAAAGTGCTCATGTAGACCTTGTGGTCCGGCTCCACCAAAAAGGGGTCGCACGTCACACGTGCCACGCCGCCGAGTTGGGAAAGTCGACAAGAGAAACAACGAAACGAACGCACGCATGCATGCTTCTTTTCGTTTACTAGTGGTTCCACGTTCGACCCAGCAGATGTACATGTATGTCCCATGTGTGGACCGCAGCCCGGTTGCGGGCGTCGACAGCATACGCATGCATATGAAAAAGCTGCAGCAGCTCCCACCAGAGTGTATCTGAGCGTGCCAGCACGCGTACGCCTATTTTAGCCGCGTCGTGATGTCCTGCACAGATAAAACACCCGAGGGTAGAATGGGACGCTTAGAACCCCAATGGGACGTTTTAGCATCCCCTCCTATAATAGCTAGAGTTTTTGGTTTGGATAGAGAAAACGTTTGCGGAGGAGGTAGACTGCGTGGCAGGTGGGTCGAGACTAGCCCCAACCGTTGCCCAACGCTGATATTTCTTTGATCTGAAAAATGCGCGACGACAGAAACATGACTGGTAATCAGTGTATCACTGATGAATCAGTGCAAAGGCTGATGATTCAGTGAATTAAGGCTCGTGCAGACTAACGTTAAGCCCAGTTATCAAGCAGGTTTTCCCTCCCACTCACGGCGAGGACTTTCAAATCCACATCCCCCTCGGGCTGCGGTATTACCTCGAACGGGTAGTAGTCTTCATCAATAGTGATTTGTTGTAAACATTCAAAAAGAAAACGCTTCTTCCAAGCAAGGTCGGTGTAATTCACAAGAACAACAACGTAAACGCTGATATCTTCTTCTCGGATTTTGCGCCCTGTAAAAAAACAAAAAAAAAGTAATTTTTCAGGTACATAGGCGTACACGCCTCGAAGTGGCCAGGTGTTCCCCCCGAGGAGGAATGTCTTCCGCCGCGAGGAGCCCCAGGTCCCGCGACGGCGGCAACTCGAAGAAGGTGAGGGTGGAGTTCTACCCCCGTCGGGAGGCCTCTTGTGTTGTGCACCAGGTACGGCAGGGGGAGGTGGGGGGGGGGGTGTACTCATAGTCGTACATGCCGTAGTCGTTGGACCGTTGACCTCGCATCCCTACAAAGTCCAGACGGAGCACGCCGGGTCCTCACCAGACCAGGCTCTCACATCGCCAAGCGCGAAGCGCCGCTAGGTATTCAGCGAGTCGCATGAAGGGTGCGCTGCATCCTGCTAAGGGTGTCCGGCATCTTGTGCTTACGTTCTGACAGGGGGGGCGGAGATAAGACGCGACAATTTAGGGTCGGGGTTCCTTTTACTGTTTTAACCGCCACCGGCCAGGCTCAGTTGTTATCATGGTACGAGGTACAGTCACTCTCAGTGTAGGAACCCTCCGTCGGGTTACATACTCGTGTTATTTTACCCCATTGTTTCTTGCTTTTCGTGAACGATTGAGCCTTTTTTTGCTCAACACGGTAATATTCTTGACTACGGCACTCAGTCGGCGAAGCCGTTCGCAGCATGAAGATACACACAGGGAGAGACCTCAACTCGACCTGTAGCGACCCCGTTTTTCAAGCCTTGCGGAGACTGACGGTCAATGAGTGCGCACGAAGATGAGAGGTTCACCGCAGCTAAGAAAAAGCTTTCGGGTACCGGCTGCTGAGTTCTCTTACAGGATACCGCTGTACGCTGGACTTCCCGTAGGATTGATTCTCGGACAACAGTTACGACTCCCCCCGCCTCTCCGCCGCCCCTTCGCTTTTCCTTCGCCATATCATAGTTCTCCTACTTCTCCGGTGACAGGTTTACAAGGGCAAAAACTTCTTTTTTCTAGTAGTGACAAGTACAACCCTCTGACCATGACACGCCTCTGACCCATCGTCCCCCCGCCGCTCCGTCCCCTCGAGGACGTGTGGTCAATTGTCTGCCTGCTAAGGCATGAAAACATGAGTGCGCCCCCCCCCCCCCCCCC